GCAGGAAGACTCGACTTTTTCTTCTCATGCTTATCTTCTTTCTTGTCCTTGCGCTCCTTCTTGAGAGCGTTCGCAAGTACCCCTGCTCCACCTCACAGTTAGCGGCTTTACTTAACCTAAACGTGGACAGAGATAGTGCCTTACCCTTTCCATGGTGCCTTTCGACAACTGGACTGGTTCTTTGAGACGAGCGACTAGACGTATCACCGCTCATTCCAGCTCCAGGAGGAGTTCCTGGACGGCGTATCGAAGTTGGTGAAGAAACAGAGCTTTGTCTTGTTGCTGGTATCAACGAGGGGGTAGCACTTCGGAAGATACCTTCGACACTATCTGTGTCAGAGAATCCTCGATTTACCATTCGAGATATAATCGGACTGCCTGATCTAGGCGTCATTGCTTCCGACCCGTCATATAATAGAGCCGATTGACTCTCGTTGGCAAGGATTTTGCTGGACAGCTCTTCATTCGTAGACCTGAGATCCAGAAGAGACCCCTCCAACTCGGTACATTTTCGCTTCATTACATCGCATTCTCTCTGTAGCTCCATCTGCTTCGCTCTGCTTGTAGCGAGAGCGGATTCGAATACGGCCACCACATTGTCGACGTTCCTGCTTTGACTCTCCTTGACAACCTTGGCCAACTGATCACTGAGGTCTGCAATCCGCGATTCGTAGTGCTTCCTCACTCTCTCGATTTGCAGCTCGTGTGCGGTAACTTGCTGTGACAACTGCTCTGCCCGAGCTTCGGCTAAGGTAGCGCTCTCTATCGCTTGTTGCATTTTCAATTCCTTGCCGTGGTATGCACGCTCTGATTCGGTGAGACGCGCTACTTCACCCTTTAGCCTGTCGATCTCTTCTGCGCTAATGTCAATTGCCTCGTTGCTCTGCTTGTACTGCAGCATTGTTTTCTCGGCCAAGTCAGCAGCGCTACGCAGTCGCTCGCACTCTCTCTGGCACTCTTCAAGCTGGTGTGTCAAGGCGAGCTTTTCCGCTGCCCACTTCTTCTGTTCCTCGCGCAACGCCCGTAACTTGGTCGAGAGATCACTCTCCCATTTCTTAGCAATGCTTCTGCGGTGGTCAAACTCCTTCTTCACTTGTGCTTCGCCTCGTTTGGCTTCGTCAAGCCTTTGTCTCAGACTTCGGTTTGCCATGACAAGATTCTGCGTCTCAGCTTCGGTGGCAGCTTCTCTGACTTGTTTACGACGCAGTTCCCCCATATGTATCATGTGTTGCTGCTTGATATATCGCTCAAACTGCAAATCATTGAGAAGTAACAGATTCTGGTGGTAGAGAAGCGAGACATAATTGTTTGCTTCACCAGCGGGTAGTGGTTGGTTGAGAGAATCAGACGATGTCTCAACCTGCCCTTGGCTTTTATCCCCTACAACCTCCTGGGTTCCGAGGGGTAGCGAGGGTACACTGGCATTTGCTAGTGACTGACGAAGCCCAGATATGCTGGCCTTATACGTGACAAGCCTATCATGGAGTTGCGTGTGTGGAGCCGACTGCAGTTGATGAGGTGAGAGGACAGGACTCTCAGCAACTTCCTGGCCACCAAGGGAAACCTGATCGGACAAATGATTTGTGCTATCAGCTTGCTGACTTGCAGCGTCGATGATCGGACCATGCAAAGAAGGTTCTCTAGATGGTTCAACTTGTGAGCGCACTATGCTGGGCGTGGACTCAACCCCCGATGAAACACCTCCACGGTCCAACGACCCATTGAGGATGGCCTCCATGTCGTCTTCCCCAAGTTCTTCTCCAGCTACTTGATCCAAGCCCACGGGTAGTGGCGTGGTATTGCGAGCATCGGGAGAGTTGTGTTTAGACTCTAAGGAAAGAGCCATACACTCAGCAAGAACTTCATCTGCCTCACTGTTAAGCCATCGGCTCATATCCGTCTTCTCCGAGTCAATTGTCAGGTTGTAGAAGTTCGGATGCAAAAGGTGTTGTTTTCTGAATCTCTCGGACCTGTCCCGGATTTCCATGGCCTGCACATCGATATCGTCGTCGTTGTTCGCATGACGCAAGTATCGCTGTGGCTTGCGGATGTAGTCGAGAAAATTAATGGGATATAAGCCGTACAGGACAGTAAAATACCCTGATAGGTAGGGGATCGAGCTTCCGTCATGATCTGGATCAAGAAGCACTCTCTCCCAGGTAACTTCACTGGATCCGCCTTCCGGGCCGATTTCGGTGTGCTCTTGCGCAAAATAGCTATCCCTATCCCAGAATAGAAGTCTAGCGTAAATGTTGAACAGTTTGGATAAGAACGGTACGAGCGAGCTGGGTATGTAAGGCAGGAGCATGATTAACGCCACCAGAGCCATGGTGACAGTGGCTGTCGACTCGTCTTTTTGTAAAGAGTTGAGAATGTTGTTGAATAGTGGTGTTTGTAGAACAACATGAAGGTGTGGAGGTTGGCTCTGAACGAAATCGCATAGCAAGCTCAATGCAAAGTTACGATATTCTCTCTTGACGAAATACCGATCCAAGCAAGTCATGAAACCCTATTGAGCGATTAGTCAAGAGCAGCATAAGCGAGGAAAAGGGCTAATGCCAACCTTGGGATCCTTCTTTCCGAAGGCCATTAAAGCCTTCTTCACCATGCGGTCCTTGAAGTCCGCCATCGGAACACAGTTTATCTGGCTTGCACGGGCGTCCATCCATCTGCTCAGCAGACGTTCAGTGAAGGGAGCAAGGCTAGCCTCAGACGAGTTTGACGATCCATCGAACTGGTCAATCATGAGCAGGTCCAATGTGTTCGAGGCAACTTCACGAGCCAAGCCCTTTTCTTGTCCGACGTATTCCAAGACGGGGTCAAGAAGTCTATCCCACCACTCGAAGATCCTGGCAGGCGTCTTCATGGCGGGACGGAGTTCCCGTAGAATCGCAAGAAAGGCGGCATATTTTTCGGGCTGGTTCTCGACGTTCTTGGTGTAGATGGCGAGAAGCTCCTCGTTCAACCGGTCTGCAGCTCCATCTTCGGCGTGCTCGTGCCGATCCAGATAATTGCTAATCAAAGTGGTGAGCTCATCGGGGAGAGGTAGGTTTGGTGTCTGGATGAAGCTAGTGAGAGCCTTGGTGAGATCCTTAGCAGACCTAGTTCACGATTATGGCTTGTCAGACTCTGCATCAATCATAGGGACCTGTAAGTCGATGCTGGACAAGCGATCACTGGATGCTCGGGCAGACTTACCCAGATGAGGCCATCGCGATCGGCGGAGTAGCGAGCACATGCACTCAAAGGTATGGTCCTGTCGCGTTTCGATGTTGGGAGCTTCCCGAGTCACCGTTGGTCATTGGTGCGCCCAGGGCTCTCGGAAAGCCGTAATACGGACCCGCTCGCTCTTGAAGCGGCAATCCAAGGATGAAGGTTCCTGTGAGATCAGGCGATTGAAAAGGGAATGACAGGAACGGAAAGCTGTTGAGTATGCGTGTTGGAACTCGGAGCACGATATGAGGGTCTCAGTGGTGTACCCAACCGAGGCTGGCGAATTGGATGCCACAATCCCCGCCCAATCTTCCGGCAATCACTCCCGCAAGGCTGCCAGACTGTCCCGCACAATCTGAGGCTGCTCGAGGCGGCTCCAGAAGTGGCGCTCTGCAACGGCCCCTCCTTTTCGCTTATCAGAACTGCACGCTCTGGACAGCCCAGATGTCAGACCGACAGGTCTAGTGGTACCTAGCTTGAGATACCTATCTTGAGGTACCTAGGTTGTATCTCCCACGGAGGAGCTGTATCAGGCACCTCTACGATGTGGTAATGTTTTGCGTAACCGCGGCGGTAACCAGTTAGTCAGTGAAGCTCCAGCTCCCGACCCCTGAGATGCAACAGCGCGACACGGCAATTGGTCTCAATGCCTCGATCAGAGTGACGGGAGGTTCAAAAAAAGGGACGGGAATGGCGTGTTCTTGATCCAACTGCCTAGGCGGTCTAGGTGGTCAATTGTACCGTGATTTGAATTGAGCCAGAGGGGCTTTGGTCGTCGTTCCTGTCTTGCCCTGTCGTCCCAGGGGTCACAATGGGATGTTTGGTCGCACAACGAGTGGAATCCATCCGTTGAATCGTGCCACTGCCTGCCCTGGGGGCCCTCTCGACTGCAGGTGACTCCCGAACACGTCCACTCCAATTTTCAACAGCTGTCCGGCATGCGGCACCTGCCCAAAGAACAGACCACACATCAGGTCGTCCAGCTCCACTACGACTGCGGGGCAGCTGCGATGGAAAAAGGACCCGCCTGTCAGCAGGTGACCCCCGGTCGCTTCCGGGCTTGGTGCCCGTGCACCAAGCTCTTTTGGCTCGACGCTACCCCGCATTTTCAACGCACGTCAGGTCCCACCAAGTGGGGTTCTCGAACAACCTAAGCTCCAGGACCTGGAGGTGCAGCGGGGGCGGGTGGTACGACTGCCGCTACGGCACGCGCCATTCCTTTCTGAGGTGTAAGTGAGGTTTCATCCAATTCACCATCGAGGTTCTCTGCCGCAAAGCTTGCCGGCCGCGGATGCAACCGACTGCTTGCGGACCGGAGGTGCACCTCATTGACTGGTACTCTGCTCTTCCCCGGAGAGGGAGCGGACGATCTGGGCTTTCATTTCCAGGTTGGTAAGTCTGAGCCCTTGCTCGATCCCCTCCTCACGTGAGGTGATCATCTGGCACGATGCCCTCTTTCTTGTGAGTGTAGTCATGGCTCCTATCCCCCTCCTCAGCGGGCTCTGTCCATTGAGGTACGTCTCGCCTCATTTAAGAAGGAGCTTCCCGTGCACCCCGCGGCCACCCATTTTGTCCTGTTCAGTCCATCTCACAAAGGTGATATCATATACGTCTCTACAAATTCATATCAACACGCGATCTTTGAGAGAGCATTCCATCCTCCAAGACATTTCACGATCCGCGAATTCTATCTTTGTCGGTAGTTCACGGCCTGCCACATCGTCAGACCATTGCAATCCATTCTTCTCTCTCACTTCTGACTTGAACACCACAACAAGGTCGTCAAGATGGCACACAAATCGTCTGCAGTGGCTGATGAGCCCATTGACGTTCTCTTCGCCCTGCATCCCAAGTTTAACCTCATGGACTTTGCTGGCCCTCTCGAGGTCCTTACTACCGCCCTGCACGAGGCCAATGATCCTTGTAAGTCAGCCATACGTCATACCCTCGACCCTTTACGTATCTGTCGAGGACCAAATGGCTGATGTTAAGTTTATGATACAGCCTCCAGAGCCTTCGAAGTCACCGTCGCCGCCGGCGAGTCCACCGTTCTCTCAGACCAGGGAGTCGCCATCCAGTCCCAGATCACCTGGAAGGAGGCCCACGAGCGCCTATCAGAATTCGACGTCCTCGTTGTCGTCGGCGGCAACGTTAATGATGCCATCTTGAAGGCCAAGGCCGAGCCCATGCCCCTCATTACTGCCTACTCTGAGATTCAGAAGGCCGATCCCACTCGCGAGCGTACCCTGCTTTCTATCTGCACCGGATCCATCTTCTTGGCCGAACTTGGTATCCTGTCTGGTCTTTCTGCGACCACCCACCCTGACTATATGACCCAGTTCGAGAATCTCTGCAGCCATTCGGCAGTCCGTGATCTTACCGAGCGTACCGATGTCATTGAAGATGCCCGATACGTGGTGAACAACTTGCGCTTTGACATTGGAGACGAGGATGAGAATCCCTACGTGCGACGCAAATCTGACGCTGGCCGCCGTCCTTCCAATGCCCGGTGAGTGCTGATACCTTCGTTCATCTAGCAAGAAACCCTACTGAAACCGCTTACAGAAAGGGATCTATGTCCTTCAAGGGTGCGACACGTCGCGAATCTATTGCCCGCCGCGCAGCGATGCGCCTAGGTGGACTGCGTGTTATTACGAGTGGGGGAGTGACCGCTGGCCTGGATGCAGCTCTGTATCTGGTCAGCGTTATGGTTTCTGAGGAATCTGCTAATGAAGTTGCCCGTGTCATGCAATGGACTTGGACCAAGGGCGTTGTTGTTGATGGTCTTGATGTTTAAAGCGAGGCGCCGGTGGTTACACAAGATGGTCTCGGTTATGGAAGGGAAATCGCTTCACATGGAACTGTATTTCATCGAAGGATTAAAAGGCATACGATGACAGCAATGATTGAAATGAAATAAAAACTGGTAATCAATCTCTTCTGACGATGCATCCTGCAAATTCCTCCCGTCGTTCTTCCGTCGTCGCGGTTGAAGATGGAGCAGGGAGTATGGCGCAAGGGTCTTTCACCCAAAACTAAAGTTTACACTAAGGTAGTCTCTAGGCCCACTGAGCCCACTTTCACCGGTGCGGGAGCTTGAGAGCTCCACTAGGTACGCGGAGGATGTTCTCCACCAGGTCCTCCTCACGAGGCCGCCAGCTGGCCGCCGGTCCGGGGGGAATGCGGAAAATATTGTCGAAACGGGGAATCGCCAATCTTTCAATCGGCCGGCTGCTCCAGATTCTCAGGTGCTGTGTTGTACGGATCCCCGGCGCGATCTCACTCATTGACAAGGCGCGTTCCCTCCCGTCCTTCGTATACCCACCAGATCCGGCACAATGGCCTCCGTAGCGAAAACGGGTGCTGAGGCACTGAGGAATGCCCCCTTTAGGGTGGGCAAGAAGCAGATCTTCCTGTAAGAAAGATATTACCAAATCTGCGATGCGATTACGCTCGTTATACCTGCACAGTCCGCCTCTCCCTCTCTGCAAAAAACTCCCGTTCTGTTCCCCTAGAGTTCGTGATATCGCAGACATGACACCCCATCCATCCGTCTCGTTTATCAGACTTCGGAGCCAGCCCTAACAAAGTGATGTTAACCAACAGGCCAAACCACGTCATCACGTTCGTCCGCCCGCTGCCCAAGCAGCCGCCTAACCTCGCGACCTTCATCGTCCCCCTCGAGTTCAACAAGCTCGACCTGCGCGACTACCTCTACCATGTCTACAACGTCGAGGTGACGGGTGTCCGCTCCTTCGTCAACCAGCGCATGCACGAGCAGAGACACGGCGATGTCGGCAACTGGCGCCGCCCCAAGTCGCAAAAGATGATGATCGCCGAGCTGGCCAAGCCGTTCGTCTGGCCCAAGCCGCCCGCTGAGGATGCCCGCGAAGCATTCGACTACGCCATGTGGAAGAAGCAGAAGACGGCGCAGGAGCAAGATACTAAATTCCAGGGCATCAGGGCCCAGGGTGAGGTCGTGCCGCCGTCGCAGTTTGAGGTGACCAAGGACCGCAAGGCCATCAAGGCACGGCAGAGCAAGTTCCTCTCGGGTGAGGAGACATGGGCGCCCGGAAAGGTCAACGCATTTCTGAATTCGAAGATTGTGCCGGAGGAGGAGGGATGGTCCGAAGTAGAAGAGAACCTGCCTTTGGATGAGTCGGCGGAGGCTGCCGCGGAGGAGAGCAGCAGCAAAGGTTCGGAGACTAGGCAATGAGTATGAGGGCCAGCCTTCTTGACTGTGCTGCACCTACTGAGTTGGGTTCTGGGCTGAGTAGGGAATGGGTGGGACGAAGGGAAGTGACAGAGCGAGGAAACTTTAATCGTTCACACAAAAAGAAACGATGATCTTGGAGCGGATAGAACTGGCTTGGCGGGAATCTGATTGTATGATATATGACGCACCTGTTAGACGGGACATTTGCGATTTTACCGTGTAACATGTAGGATACGATACAGAAGTAGACCGGGAGCAGCACTAGAAGGCGTTCCGGTTGTCTATACTGCTTGCCTCACCGTTCTTTTGATGGAACGGGCAGCCCTTCTTCTTCTTCTTCTTTTTCCGCAACAAGTTCTACCCAACGACTACGGTGCTGAAATAGCAGACACTGGTCGCCCCAGCTCCACCACCCTGCCGTCAGGTTCCGGGCAAAAACCTCCAAAGCTTGATAATCGGGCGGCAGAAGGTCGGCGAACAAACCTCGTAAATTGGGTTTCCTGGAATGGAGGTCCGGCACTGTTACGATGACCTTGGTCTCTATAGGACTTCGCTTCTTGACACCCGGACCGGTTCCACGTTTCCTCGCGAGCAGAAGTCGCTCCCACGGTTTCCTCCAGGCGCAATCAAGACTCACAATGGGCTCTCCGCCGGTGGTCACCTTCAGCCATATCCACTCGCCGATCAATTCGACTTGCCACTCATCGAAGATACCCTTTGGGCATGTAAGAAGCTCGGCGGCTCGCGCCAAGTTCGTAACCCATACAGCTACGAGACCGTCCTCGGATAAGTGCGATGCGACAGGAACCTGGGAAAGAAGGTCCCTTATAGAGTCCGCATCACGCGCCGGTCGGTAGATGCCCCTTTTCCTCTTTGCGGATCGGTTAGGCCAGGGCGGATCCATGAGGATCAGATCAAATTTCTTGGGCGCCGTCGCGAGAAACTGAGATCTCCGAGACTCCACCGTGCCAAGCAGGTAATGAGATGCCTTTGGAATGGTGTAATGGGAGAGGTCTGGCGGCGCCTCACCAGAGGCATCGTCAAAGGTTTTGGCATTGTCTGAGACGTCATAAACCTCTCCGTCAGGACCCCGCTTCCCGTTCCGGTTGACTGCCGTCGTTAGGCGATTTATCCTTGGCAGACAATGACGCGGTAAACACCATTCTCCGTGATAAGAATGCTGAATGTCTTCCAAGGCCGACTCGGCAGCGGAACGGGCCATCAGTTTCGCTATGTGATCGGAAGCAGATGGAGCAGCGCTGGCCGGGGATGATTGCGATTTCGACTTGGGCTCCGGAGTCGGAAACGGGGAGGACGGAGGTTCTACCGAAATCAGGGTCCGTAGCTTCAGCGGAGTAAGCGCGCCATCATCAAGCTCTCTTGGGAGAAGCTGAGCTTCCTCGATTGAACGAGGCAGATCCAGGAGGAACACTGTTCGATTATCGTTGTGATATAGTACAGATGAGTGAACCATAATCACTGAACTGATCCAGCCTGGGTGGAATGGAGATCTGATCAAACCGGTTGTGCCCGGGCTGGGGGTGAAGGGACCCCAGTTTGTCACTGCACCCCGCAAAAACAGAAGCAGAGACGGGAGCCGGAGGGCGGAGGGATGATTCAGGTCTAAATCCAGGGCAAGGAACAGTGGGATTCCCGACTGGTAGTTAGTGGTGCATCCGCCGCAAGGTTCCGTCCAGTCACGATCATGTTGGTTGTGGGGCCGCGTTCATACGGGTAAAAGGGTCCGAATCTGGCAAAGAAGACGAGCGTAAGTAACAATCGATAACAATTCAGAAGCCGAGGAAATGGGCGGTCATCAGGCGACGCGCGACAGTACTCGTTTCGTCGGGGTCGCGTGACCAACACGACTGGTGGTTTCTGCAGATTACTCAGCGCCGCCATTCCTAGGTATACAGGCTCGACAGGTTTTCTTCGGCAATCCTCGGCTGGCAGGGACCGGCTGGCCGGGGAATTTGGGAATTTGGAGGTCGAGTGAGTGCATCTCACCCGAAGCGGTGTTGGAGAGAAAATGGGGGAACTTGAATGTGCCCTCCAAGGATTGTCTTTCCCCGGCTCCGCTACAAAGTGTGTGATGTAATAATCCCAGTACCTGTATCGATCCTCCAAAATACCTTCAGTTCCTGTAACGGACAATCAACAACAATTCCCTAGACTCACTCCTGGAACCAGCGCTCCCTTCCCATTCAATTCCGCATCCATTGCCCTCCTATTCTTCCATCTCGGTGCCGCAACTGACTCTAGGGTTGTGCTTCTGGCTTTTGATCGCAAAGCAAAACCGGCAACTTCTACCGTCGCATCGGCGAGCCCGCATCCATTCACCTAAAGACTTCTCCGCCGGCAATGCGCTTGTAGAAAGGCGTATTCTCTCTTGCTCCTAGATCGCGATCCTTCGCATACGATATTCTGGGCCCTTTCGAGGCCCGCGTCAGAGGGAATGCCCCCGGCGCTCATCAGCCATGCCTCCATGCCGGGGAGCGCATCAAACGAATCACGAGAGGTAACAGCTGATGCGTTCCGGCTAGGGGCCAAGGTGCAAAAGGAGAAAGGTGAAGCGGCGATATGCCCAACAGACGATGAAGCGTCGGTACCGCGGTCCAAGAAGCATTCGAGTTCGCAGAAGAAACGGAGTTTGGATTACCTATGGAGATCGGGAGTAGCAGGGGGCTTGGCCGGATGCGCGGTAAGTATTTCCAATTCTATCGGCACTACACTGGTCGCATCTCGTGCACGCTTTGACTGCGATGGTCGCGACTGACTCTTTTTGTTTGGCAGGCCAAAACCGTTGTCGCACCGCTTGATCGGGTAAAGATCCTATTCCAGGCTCACAATCCACACTTCGTCAAGTACGCGGGCTCGTGGTGGGGCTTTGGGGAGGCCATAAAAGAAATATATCGACAGGATGGGGTTATGGGTCTATTTAGGGGCCATTCAGCAACCCTTCTAAGGATCTTTCCGTACGCCGGTATCAAGTTTCTGGCCTACGAGCAAATAAGGGCACTCGTCATCACTCGGAAGGACCACGAAACCCCCCTACGGCGGCTTGTGAGCGGCTCGCTCGCCGGCGTCACATCCGTCTTCTTCACCTACCCCCTCGAACTCATACGAGTACGGCTAGCGTTCGAGACAAAACGGGAAGGCCGGTCATCCCTCCGATCCATCATCAGGCAGATATACAGCGAAAATGCCCTCACGGTTCCCAAAAACGCGCCGACTTCAGCACACGCGCCCGCTCTGATTCCGCGGACCGGGCTCGCCAACTTCTACCGCGGCTTTTCTCCCACCCTCTTCGGCATGCTTCCCTACGCCGGTATGTCCTTCCTCACACACGACACGGTTGGCGACATCTTCCGGCACCCGAAGCTTGCACAATGGACAACACTACCGCAACCAGAAAACGCGCCGGCCGGTAAGGCTGCGCCCCTGCGCTCATGGGCGGAGCTTTCGGCCGGTGGTATCGCGGGATTGGTCTCGCAGACGGTGTCGTACCCCTTGGAGGTCATCAGGCGGCGGATGCAGGTCGGCGGCGCGGTCGGCGATGGTCATAGGTTGACCATTGGCGAGACGGCCAAGCTGATCATGCGGGAACGGGGGGTCCGCGGCTTCTTTGTCGGCTTGACTATTGGGTATGCGAAGGTAGTTCCCATGGTGGCTACGAGCTTTTACACCTATGAAAGGTTAAAGACATTTTTTGGCATCTAGAAAGCTCTCTCACTTTTCTCCTCTGCTTACTAGGTAGAGGGTCTCGAAACGGGCGGTCAAGGCTCGGATTGTTTACTTACTACAAGGATCATCTGTACTTCGGGTATACGCGCGAGACACATATTTATGGTGTTGGTTGGCTTTGTTCTTGATAGGTACATATATACACATTTAGAGATATTCTTGGCTTAGAGTCGAAAGAGTGTCATTTTCTCGCTTGGGCCACTTCAGTATCATTCTCGCAGCTAAGTCTTACGCCGGTTGTAGCCATAAGGTAGTCTTGGTCTTTCAAGTATCTGTAAACATAGGAAGAGCACGCAAGACGGATGTGGCTCCACAGAAAACATTATGACAAAATGTGTGTTGAATCCAACTACTAAGATCTGTGAGCCTTATCGTACAGAATTAATAGCCGCGAACATGTGAAGAGCTATCCAGCGACGCAAACAATAGGACATTAGACAATTACGTGTTTCCGGACTTGCACTGTTCGTTTCAAGGTCACAGAAGATGTTGAACCAAGCAGACACATGAGGAAAGCGACTAGAGAATGCAAGAGCGCCAATGAAATGTAGAGGAAATCGATACCCTCTAATGTTAGTTGTGACAATTTGGAGGCGACATACACAGTCTCAGAGAGGGAAAGTATCTGACCAGACAGGTCGCATGAATAACCTGGAACTTCACTGAATGGGCAGAGACGAGCTAAAGCAATCAGAAAGATGAAAGGGTAGTACCTAAGAAAGCAGTGACAGAGGAGTTATAAGAGGATGACTGAAGGCAGGTTCGAAGTAAGAGGACAGTTACGAACGGAAGTGGCGCGGTTTACCTTTGCCGACTATCTCTAAGAGCGTCTTGCCACGGTTGTCTGATGAGTGTACCTTCCAAACACAAATTGAAGTACCGTGTAGCTAGATGCGAGGTAGCTATCAGGCTTTCAGGAGTTACTGATTTATCTTGATCGAAGAGAATTGAGAGCTAATTAGAGAACTGCAGAGACCAAAACCTACAACGGTATGCTCAATTTGTTCTTGGTTCTTTTCCCTTTCTTTTCTTTTCTTTTTCTTTTCTTTTCTTCTTCTTTTCTTTTCTTTTTTTTTTTTTTCTCCCCTGATTTCATTTTCCTGTGTCGTGACATTCGCTTAAGCTCGGTTCGAGAGCTGGCAAAGGTACTTAACACCTTCCAATAAGCACAGAATGATGCCGAGATGCTCGACTTGTCGTAAGAGCGCATGTCACCGGATAGGGTGTACAATGCAGAGGTAAGTAACCATTGTGTCAATGATGTATTGAGGTTCTTCTCGCAAGATAGAACTCCAGTCCAGTGTCTATATTGGATGGACAAAGCGTAAGACGATGTTACTTACAGTTACGGTACACATCTCCGATGTATTGCGACCAAAGTCGAGGCACGTGAGCCCTCGAGACACTCTCGTCTTGTTCGTCCCATCTTCAATAGATCACATTATCAACCACATACAGCGAAGCGCAAGTTCATGAGATATTCTGAGTTGTCATAATCTCTTCTTCATTGGACATTTCCGGGTATTATCGATTCCTCCTGCACCAGATTCTACCGCTCCTCCCCTTTTGTTTTTGCCCCCCCTTCCCCCCACCCCCACCAGACAGACAACCATTCTTCCCTCTAGGTTCTATCGCTCCTGCCCTTTTCTGCTCCCCAACAAGCCATTATATCATAAATCAATAAAAAGAATGGAAAACACGTGCCATTACCAACAACCCTTGATGAGCCAACCCCTCCTCAAGCGTTCACAACAGCACTACTCGTGGGTGCCTCCGTCTTATTCTCAGTGACGGTCGTATCCCTCTGCGCCTCCTCCTCACCACTCATATCGAACTCGCCCGACAACTCCTCCAGCGTCTTCCGCTTCGTCTCGGGAATCAAGAAAGTGGTACCAACACCGAGCAACATGAAGAGAGCATAAATCTCCAACACGTGGTTCATCCACGGGTTCGGGTTTCCTCCCTTGACAGCGCCCCTGGTGCGCAAGGGGGCAATGGCGCCCTGACCGATGATAGAGCCGATCTTGCCCATGGCGGCGCTCAATCCGTGCGAGGTAGACCTGTAACGAGTGGGAAACACCTCGCCGGGCACGATAAAGGTGGTAGCGTTGGGACCAAAGTTGAAGAAGAACTGGGCGAGGACAAAGATGGCGAGCAGCGCGTGAGGCGAGAGGTGCTTGTAGGCGAAACCCATGACCACGAAAAGAATGGTGAGGATACCGAAGCCCATGAACTGGATCGGCTTACGACCGACAGTGTCGACGGTGAAGACGGTAACCCAGTATCCGGGGACGGCGCCGGCGAGGACAATGATCAAGTTACCGACAGCGGTGTTGTAGAGGATCTCATACGTGTTCTTGGCACCCGTGGTGGAGTAGCCGATGACGTTGAGGATGGTGGCGTTGTTGAGCGAGACGCCGTAGTAGGCAATGTCGAGGAAGCACCAAGACAGGGCGGTGCCGGCGAGCAGCATGGCGTTCTTGCGCTTGGAGTAGTGGCGGAAGAAGTCACCCCAGCTGGCCTTGGGGATCTCCATCTCCTTTTCGGCCTCCTGCTTGGCGACGATGCGGGTGGCCTCGTCGGGCTGGCCCTTGGGCTTGCCCGTCTTGAAGGCTTCAATGTCGTCACTGGCCTGCTCAACGTCCCTCTTGACGTCGAAGGTGTAGCGAGGAGTCTCGGGGATAGTCAAGCGGTAGTAGAGCGCGATGCAGCCGGGAACAGCACCGACAC